AGAAAACAATAAAAATATATATATCTGTGTGTGTGTGTGTGTGTGTGTGTGTGTATGTGTGTGTATGTATTTGTAATTATACAAATAGGAACGTTGATATTGTGGCATTGATGATTTGTTCGTTAAATTTTTTCAATGTCAATCATTCACAGAATTTAAAAATTTTAATCTATGAAGAAATGGAATTTTTCAAATTTAAAGTCTTTTGTGACAAATAAACCAGTCACGAGCAATTTTTCGAATTGATTGATAATCAGATAACATTTTGGGCATATTATATTGCTAGAAATTTTAAAATTGCTAATGAAATTCAAATTTGCGAAATGTTTTGCACATATCTTTAACATAGATTAATTTATTAGTTTAATTTAATTAATTTACTAAATTTATACTAATTTAATTAGTCTATTTTTCATAGACTAATTAAATTAACGAGTTATATCGGAATCTGTAGAGATAATTTTGCAAAATATGGAACTATGAAAGGATGTGCTCCAGTTATTTTTTTAATTTTATTAAAATTGCCTGAAAATTCATTTAATGGAATGAATAAATATTCTGGCTAACAAAAGATAATCGATCGCTTGTGATTGAAAATGAAATGAGGAGCAGCTGGTTTAAAGAAATCTTGCCGGAATTATGAAAAAGTGCTTTTAGTGACTTTTAATGCTTTCCGGAACAAAAAAATGGATATTGTAATGAAAGAGAAAAGCTTATGTTATTGAATTAAATGATGAAAATGTTAGAAAACGACGTATCGGGAAGTAAATGAAATGCTTTTGTCGTAACTGCATTTGTATGACTCATCAATCGTATTAAATTTTTATTTTTCTTAACGATTATCACCGTATAAGTTTCTATTACTGTTGACAGTTCATTTTAATATTATTACATTATAAGCAAATTATCCGTTTATTTTACCGATATTTCATTAATTAATTTATTGATTTTGTATCTATCAATTTTATACTTTTTTCTCTATTTTCAAATCATTTTTTTTTAAAACGATATTGAAAATTGTTGACTGATAGATATTATTATAAAATTTGATGGACATTAATTCTGAAATCGATAATATCGCACAGACACACACCACAAGATATATATTTATAATTATTATTTATTATTAATTCATCCGTTATTTGCTGTACGAAATGTTTGCAAATATTTTTCCATTTGATCGGGGATCGGCATACATTCATGCCAGTGTAGCTCTTTTTTTGATTGAAATATCAAATGCTCCTATGGGCTCCTAGGCTCATGGCCAGATATTTATTTATGAATTTCGTCATGGAATCTTATTTGAACCATTTTTCGTAGCAACAATAAACAGTTAGAAAAATACGGTAGAATGCAAATTTCAAAAATTTCATAACAGAAGCATAAATATTGTTATATATTGTAAAAAAATGTTTAAGTGATTTGAAATTAACATGAAGATGAAATGATTACACTAAAATGAATAGATAATTAGGTAATTAGATACAGATAATTAGGCTTTGAAGTGAAACTTATCTTTTAGTAATGTATAAAGTATCAAACTTGCGATGTTTATATTTATTTAGGAATTTAAAATTATCTAATACTTACTTATTTTGCATGTTTTTGTTGCAATTAAAACATAGCGTGAAATCATAGACAGATATTATTAGAATATCTTTTTAAATATAAAAAGTTTGTTGTTTTGTTTGAAATTCAAATTCGATTATAAATTTAGCGCAACTTTCATATTTATCATATGCTAATCTCATAATTTTTCATTTGTGTTTCAAATTGCAGTATTTTTTTCACTTAAAAAATTCGAATTTGAATAACTCTTTTTCACTTTTTCCTTTTCAATTCCTATAAATCAGTTAAATAATACAGTTAAATAATAAGTATTACTGAGTTATCTGGCAGTAACTAATCTATCTGTATTATTGGGCAGTAGCTAATCTATTTTATTCGTTCTTATAGTGCAAATATCGTTCTACCACTTATAGTTAATTGAAATGAAAATATTATTGAATTATCATTTATTTTCTTCTAACAATATCCTTTTAATGCTAATGATAATAATGTGAAATTTATCAATATAGCTTGTCATTTAGTGTATTTGTATAGAGAAAGAATTCAATGATAATGCAAACAAAATCTTTTCGACATTTTTCATCATTTATATGATCTATAGTCGGACAGATATTTGGATGACATTAGGGTGACATTTTCGTTGCTTTTACAATTACCGTTTTGAAAAGAGCAAACAAGAAGCAATGTCTCATTTAATTATATACTTCTTCATTAGCTTAATTACAACTTCAAATTTCTTCAATAGAAATTTGAGATGAGATGGAACTTCAAATTCCTCTTCTTCAATCGTATTATAATTTTGCAACACATTTTGCAACGTATTGCAATTTTGCAAACAAAGATAGTCTCCCAAATTAATAAGCCTATTTTCATCGAAACTTTCCAAAGCTTTTGAGCAATCTTTCGCAATATTTTTTACCATAAAATTGTTAAACGATCATTGAAAAGTATTTTAATTTTTCGATCAATTAATTGCTCATAAAAACAATTCGTCGAAATTACCGAAATGCATAAAATATTGTAATTCGAAATTTGTTTACTTAATATTTTACCTTTTTGATTGCTATTCAATTGAAGAAAAATGAAATAAAGATCATCAATATCACCTTTTTTTTCGAAATGTCATTTCGTTCTAACTATCAGGTGACTTTTTTAACAAAATGAAATAAAGAGGTCAAAATAGTAAAGTGGGTGAGGGGGAAAAGATAGTATGAATCAGATTAATGAAATTCTTTTTCCACAATGAAGTTTGAAATTAAGATAAATTAATGCTATCTTTTGTATCTTTTGTATTCATATTATCTTTTGAAATTAATTTGACTCAGGTTAATTAATGAAAAAAAGATTAATGAAATTAAGTCTAAAATTGAATTAATAGTGAATTAGCATATTGTTAATGAGTGATTAATTATTTAAAAGCAATTATCAATTTAATGATTCATTGATAAGCGGGAAAATATTCTTTAAACAAAAAATTGGACCGATTGTTTATTCAATTACTCATTTCTATTAAATATTTGAATTTTCAAATTAACTGTCAACAATTAATCATACCAATTCTTCCACTTTACTATTTACTTTTCTCTTTAATTCATTGATTTTGATAGCAAATTTTTGTTAGATTCTTCCATTCCAATTCAGTTTTTTCTTTTCTTTTTTTAGTGAAATATTTTTTGAAAATTTCAAATTTAAGTTTTATTTGAAGATTTATGGAAAACTATCTGTTTTATTTCTAAGCCTTATTATTTTAAGCTCACTTTTTTCTTTTTGAGCAAAATGAATAAAAAGAAATGATTGAATCGAATAACGGATAACGAATTGAACCGGATAACGGATTGATCTCAATCCGGTTTAGATGATCGATCAGTAAAATATATCGTAAATTGCGTCCTCTTAATATTATCAGTTATTAATTTACAATTACTCTTCTTGTTTTAATTATCGAAAGAAATTTTTATTTTCTTTAATTGGTTGCGAAGTTTTTTTTGTGACGAATTAATTTTAGAAATTCAAACAAATTTGAATGTATCATATCGGTGATGAATGTGTGTATAACATCGTTAATTTAATATCATCATTTGGATATATATATTTCTTGCTTTATATTCGTTTATTGTTCAATTCGACATTTTACTTTCCAATGAATTGTGCACTTCAAGCTGGCACGAAAAAAATTCGGTTCGGAAGCATCTGTTCCTCTCTCTCCTCCTATCATCATTCTCTTAAGTTGAATTCACTCTTCTCTCTCTTCACCATTTCCATCATCAATCCATCTCATCGCATTACAGCTTTATTTAACTATCCTATAAAAAGTTCGAAAATATTATTTTCATTGTTCAAAAATCTTCCTCTATTTATTATTCCTGAAAAGATTATTTTTTAGGAATAATTCCGATTTATAAATTTTAATGATTTATTCAACTTTCTCTAAAAAAATTTGATCGTTTCTTTTTCAAATTACTTTTGAAAAATTTTTTAAATTATTTATATGAAAATATTTATTCGTTTTTCCTTTTCAATTTAAATAAATTAAACACATTGTGTATAATTTTTATTTTGAAAAAGATAAATCGATCATTAAAATTCCTTCAATAATTATTCGTATCATTTAACTTTTCTGCACTTTTATTCGTATCATTTAACTTTTCTGCACTTTTATTCCTATCATTTAACTTTTCTGCGCTTCTATTCCTATCATTCAACTTTTCTGCACTTTTATTCATATCAATCAACTTTTCTGCATGTAAGGAAAGGAATTTGCTATTTGAATATATCTAAAAAAATTTTTTAAATTTATTCAAAACAAATGTATTTATTAAGACGAATAAAAACGTTCAATTTTTTATTAATGAAATTAAAATTAAGAACATTTTCGAATAATTCCAACCAATATTATTTCATAATTTCAACAAATAGTGCAAGAAGAAATGAAATGAATTCAACTTTGTCATTTTCTTTCTTTTCAAATAGCGTAGAATTTTCTAAATATGTATGCGGCCATCCATTCCATTTCATTGTTAAAACCCTTTTCCTCTTTTCTAACCTTTTTGTCAATTATAATTTTAAAAAAGGATCTTTTTTGACAGATGTGATGTGATAATTCATTTGAAGAAGGGAAAAATTTATTTTATTGTAGTAAAAATGAATGAGAAAAAACAAAATATTTCATTTTAGAAATAGTAAATTTTTTTAAAAATGATATTTTAGAATTCATTTTTGTTATTGAAGCGATCTTCAAAAAGTCCGTTTATCATTCTGTTCTTTTTTTATATTTCATTATCATTTTTTTATTGACACTATCAGTTTTGTATTGATAACATTCGTTGATGATAACATTTTAGTAATTGAAGCTATTCGGCTTGGTTAATCCTTCGGAAAAAAATTTTCATATTATGACAAAAAGGTTGTAAAAAAATGCTATAAACTTCAAAATGGTAATTCAGAAGTAAATGCTTAGAAATTGAAACTCTTTTGTAGAATTTATCCGTTTCTCGAAATTTGAACCTTCTTAAATTCACTGCAATTAGATTTCTTCGGAGAGAAGATGAAATTAGCATAATGTTTGTTCTTTGCTTTCGTCAAAAAAAACTCGTACATGAAATTCGTTTTTGAAATATATCACTGTCAGTAAAACTGAAATTTCAGATTTCTCAGCTATACAAAATTTAGGATGACAGACGTGGAATTGGAAACACGTAATTTTTTGCGCGAACTTGACACATTCGGACAGCCGCCACCACCGCAACGTCTTATTAGTGATGCTGACAGCAAGGCAATGAGCAAGGAATTTGAATTAAAATTACATCACATTAATTTAGAAAAACAAAAGGTATGTTATGACTTTTATGAGTTCATTTCTTAAAAGAAGAAAAGAAGAATGAAAACTTGAACTTTTCAATTTGAATCCATTCTGAAATTTAAAATTAGAAACTTGAAGCCCACAATTTCTCAAAGCATGGACTGTAAAATTGAATATTGGAAGAGCATTAATAATGCGACAAAAAGAATACTATTGGAAGAAAAAGCAATTGTCCTTTGGATTCAAGCTTTTTATATACATTGGATTATCTTTTGTTAGTGTGAAAATTAGATTTGAAAAATTTTCTCTTGAAACGATATCAAATTTAACTTTTTTTTAAAATATGTGACCGCCAACTTCAATTTTCAACTAATATAACTATTTTCGCATTTTCAGTGTGTACGAAATGGTACATGGAATCCGAAACCAGGAACATCTTTTGGCAGCAGAAGTCCTGTTAATAGGAAAAGTAACGATAATTCTTATGGATCTGCTAAAAATGATAATAAAAATGAAATGAGTAAAGAAGAAATTAGCAAACTTAAGGAACAGGTGATCATTTTAATCAATAATTATTTCGGTTTTTATTGCTGTTGAATTTAACTTGCATGCATTATATAAAATTATGACGTTTCAATTAAAACAAATTTTTCAATACAGAATTTAAATTCAAATTCCAGGTGGTAACAGCCAGTCGTCCGTTAAATCCGTGGTACGAGCATCAACACCAATCACCAACGTTATCCGCAAATTTTGTTCGAAGTACTATTCGAAAAGGTCTGAATGCTGATGAAAAATATCCATCGATCGTTACTAAAACTCCAATACAATATCATCATATTAATGTGGCTACTGTATCCGGCGAAAATGCCGTATCTGGCTTAGCAAATGCAAAAAAATCGAATTGCGCCCAGAATGCAGCTTCTATAAGTCCAGCAAGTGCTTCTAGTAATACGGAAACTTCGCATTCATCAATTTCGACAAGTGGATCCAGTATGGTATGTCAGAATTTTATGCAATTAGCACAGATCGTTTAAAATTTAATTCATACTTTTGTTTCCTCAAAATAAGCTAGTACCGGTCAATTACAATGACAGGGTATTGTTTTTAAGACAATCTCGACTGATCCAAATGATGACACCTATCGAGCAATTCCTGCTAATAATCGTTTTCATTCTCTCATTTCACCAGCCAAAACATACTATCATAGTGGACCACCGATTCGGCGAATATCTCGGGTGCCTCCTTATTATTTTCCAAAACTAGTTTTCAAGTCCTGAAATAAAATACTTTGAAAACAATAAGACAAATATTGTTTATAGGTAACGCCAATATTGCAACAATTAATAGTATTGCTTTCTCATGCTGAAATTTCATTGCGTTAGTGTACCACAATATTTGATTCAATAGTATTTGTGTTTAGTGCAATTTTTTCGGAAAAATTACTCCTTTAAAAAAACGAAAAAAAATTGAGTTTCAGAATCCGATTAATGGATCAGATAGTGATCGATATGAAAGGTTATTGGTAAACGGAAATGCTGTAAAGAAAAACATGAATGACGTATATTTAAATGGTTATTTTTAAAATTAATCAAATTTTATCAATCATTTTGACCAATTTTTCACATCTTACGAATAAAATAACAAATATTGAACTAAAATTTTATCATACAAGTTTTTCTTTCAAGAAAGGAAATTTCAGCAAATCAGCAATCTCATTCAACAACCATTTCTGATAAATATGACGAGAAACAGCCGAAAAGTAATTCCACGTTAATGCCACCCTGGCGAAAAAAGAGTATGGATTCGGTTACATCCACCGATTCTGGCATATCAATACAGCGTAAAAAGTATAATGAAATAACGAACAATTTGGAAAAACAATTGAATTTGAATCGAAAACCAGTTGGTATCTGTGAATTATGTAGTAAAGCTATAATGGAAGAAATGGATGCCATTTGCGCACTTGGCCAACTATATCATCAAAATTGTTTTACTTGTGATTTGTGTGGACGAACTTTACGAGGAAAAAAGTTTTATAAAGTAGATTATTTTATTTAATAACAAAATTTTTGTTCTCTTTCATTTTGCATAAAAAATTAAGACTTTTTGAATTTACGATATTCAGTTTTAGTAGCAATTTCCACATTGAAGTTATTCCATTCCTAACAAATTCCAATTAGTTCTGAATACGATAAAATTTAATTTAATTCCAGTTATTTTAATTAACAAATTGGAAATACTGATAGATTTTAGATTCGAGAGAAAAAGTACTGCGAAGAAGATTACCTGTACAGTGGGATGCATGAAAATGCGGATCGATGTGCTGCATGCTCACATTTTATTATGGATATGGTATGTTTCATTTTACTTTTATAATGATAATTAGAAGTGTGTTCATCTACTTTGAGAAATGAAACTTGCATTAAGTGAATTTAAACTAATTTAAGATGAAAAATTTAAAGGTAATTGAACATGGCATATGAAAGGTCAGGTAAACAAGCAACTTAATGAGAAAAATTGATAGAACTTTTATTATATCCTTTGAATTTCTTACGAAAATTTTAATAGGTTCTGCATGCACTTGGAAAATCATATCATCCGCGATGTTTCCGTTGCGAGAAATGCAAAAATTGTTTGGATGGTGTTCCATTTGCTTTGGATCCGGAAGGTCGTGTATACTGTACCGAAGATTATCATAAACTTTTTGCGCCGAAATGTGCTGCATGTTTGCAAACAATTATGCCTAATGAGGTATTTTCTGAAATATTTTCATTGTGAATTTTTTTTGCAAACCGATATAATATGATATTTGGCATTAAACGGAGAAACTTACTTATTTCTTTCTATGACATTAATCAGTCAAACTTCTGAAGTCTATCACATCATCTCATTTCTATTTCTTTTAAATTCATTGATAAAAGCTTTTTCTTTGATTTTCAGAAAACCGGAGAGACAGTCCATGTTGTTGCAATTAATCGAGATTATCATATTGAATGCTATGTTTGTAAGGTAGAAATTCTTCAATTGTACAGTTATATAATTCCTGTCTATCCGCGAAATTGCTATTTTAGGCTTTCAATAATTCTCAAGTTATTGATAATATTCTTCCGTCGAATAAGAAGAGACATCAAAGAAAAGAAAAATGATTTCTATTTTAATTTTGGTTCCCATTTATCCTTTATTCCATTTCCTGTTTCCTTATTACAGGGCTGTGGTATGCAATTAACAGATGAACCGGAAAAACGTTGCTATCCACTAAACGATCAGCTTCTATGCAAAAGTTGTCATATACATTGGGTACGAACCGGTGGTGATTCAAAACCGATCACTGATTTGTGAAATATACTGGAAATTTTGATTTGTGTTTTATTTTTGTGCATTCGAAATCTTATGTGAAGATGAATGATATTATGTGATTGAGTGTTTTTGATAACTTCCATGAGAATCGATATCGTTAATCATTCTGTACCATCCTAAAATTTCATTCAATAGTGACGAAAATTATTTTTACTAGTGATAAAATTAGAAATTTAAATTTAATATTTGCATTTTTCAAATTCTTTGCAAATTCAAAATTATGCACAAAATATTGTTCACTTTTTCCCCTTATTAATATTACGAATGTACGAAAATTTGTCACTTATATTTCATTGTTAAGTAAAATGTGAATATTAGTACATATGTCAACACGAGGCAAATACTATCTGCAAAGTATCACGCCATCATCTTACGCATCTAAAGAGTAAAGTGATGAAGCATGACTAAATCGTTACTCCAACAAAAGTTACAATGAAAATGATCTATTTGCTTTTCTATGGTATAAAAATGAGAGGATCTCATACGATTTTTTATCACCTCAAATACCACCTAAACCGATGAATACGTCATTCTGTGCAACATATTAACAAACTGAAATTAAATTTCAGAATATAAGTCTGTTTGGGTCATAAACAATCAATACAAAATAAAAATTTTTTATTTCCATAATTATGTATCTCTGCGTTATTGGGGACAATTATCAGTATTCACTTATTTATGTTAAAATGATTTTTTCAACTGACAACTGGGAAAAAGTGGTTTAACCTATGTGGTAAGTGAAAAAGATAAAATTTAAAAACATCATTAAACTCTTTACTAATTTCCTCTTCACCGAGTCGTATTGCTGGCAAACAAAATAAATCTTAAAACAATGGAATAGAAGAAACAAATAACTTTCATCCTTCGTTTACGCTTTTTAAAAATAAGTGTCGAAGAATTATCCTTAAAGTTAGCGGTCACTTCATTCTATTTACTCGCAGTTGCAAAATTTTTTGCATATAAAATACGATAAACATCCGTGAAGGAATCATCAAATTCCTTGTTCCAAATGGTTCAATAAATCGGAGCCTATTAGAATATACTGCCGCCGATTCCGGAAAGCATCCTTGAAATGTCGTCAATGGATTGGACCATAATTTTCATAGAATGTACGTTGCGCTGTGTGTGGCAATGGGCAAGTTTTCCCGGCAGGTGGATTCTGGTTGTGTTTTTTTCCAGTGCTTGGTTCCTGCTGACACTTTCTGTGGGCCAATAGAATACTTTATTAAGAATGACAGCCTTCGAGGAGTTGGGTATGTTACCGGAATTGGGTACAGCAGTGGACGAAATGGAATGGACGTTAGTTCCCTAACGTTATTTCAGTTTTTTTCAAGTTTCATTCATTCATCGGTTACCTTTGAATTTCCATTGGAATAATTATTAAAAATTTAAACATTTGCTCGCATACGGAATGAGATTAAAAAAAAAACTTGCAGTTTGTAGATAAAATGCATAATGTTTAGCATTATCCACAGACCTTAACTGTACGATGGTACGAGGTAATATTATCCTTAGCGGACAAAAATTAAATTCCATTTCTATTAAATGCAAATATTTAATAAGTCAAAAAGTTCTTATTAATACCTGAGCTCTTGCTGCTACCTATAGTTTAAGTTTGTTAATATTTCAGGTTGCCTACAGATATTCAGTCCGAAGCAATCCCTGCAATTCTTGGTGGTGGTGATGTACTTATGGTATAGTTATTTATTTGTTTACTTTAATTATTCGAGCTGGTTTTACTTTCATTTCACAGAATGTCTAAGAAATTTAAAAATTAATTAGCTGCTAACAATAGAGTTTATATGATTGTGGTCATTCAGGCAGCGGAAACAGGAAGCGGCAAGACAGGTGCGTTTTGTCTTCCTGTACTGCAAATCGTTTGGGAGTCATTACGTGATTCGATGTTTGGTAAAACGCATAAATCGACTAATTGTATTGGTAACTTTATCTTTACACTGATTTATTACATGAAAATAAATACATTAAATCCAATATTTACTGGAGAACTTCAAGAATTATTTATTTTGAGCTAATGATTTGCCGCTAAATCTAAATCTATGATCCTGAAGTAAATCTAAAATTGCTGAATGTTCTGTATCGTTGTGATTATTAGAAAAAAATTTTTCATTCGATTACCTGTTGCAAATCGTCCATGGCTGTTTTATAGATACTCGAAAAGCATCTTTAATTCACTTCTGATATTAAATTTGGTTCATTTACATCACAGACTCTCACTGGGACTTATTCAGCGCTTCAACTTATACTATTATACAGCAAACAATAATGAAATGTCCAATAAAATGTGCACGACTAATGTATCTCAGTACTACTCCTCAGATTTGAAGACTCGTTCTTAAATGTTGCAGATGAAAGATGGTGCTTGAATGTGCGTGATAGGGATAGCAATCTTGCAATTGATCCTGATGGCTTACTTTGTCAAAGTCGTGACCCAAAGGCATGGAATGGAGCACGTTGTACTCGTGGTGTTATTGGCGAAGGTTTTATTTACTTCATTCTTCGTTTTTCTTTTTTTAATACGATTTTGGCAAACTTAGGCACATGTGCATCATTTTCACTCACGCACTAATATGGACAAAAAAATGTACAAATATAACAAGGTAAAAGATTTAAAGATTAAAAGGTAAAAGATTAAAAGATTTCAAGTTTGTAGGAAAATTCTACTATGAAGGGACAGTTACCGACGACGGATTATGTCGCCTGGGATGGTCAACTGCTAACGCTGTTCTGGACTTAGGTATTCATTTTCAATTCGCAAGAGTTTTTCCATTATTGGTTATCTAATGATGCCTAAGCTGCTCTTTATTTAGCTGATTTTAATGGATTTCTCTAATTATGCTATCTGTCTTTCTCTGCGCTATGCTAGCTAACTTTTAATCCAGTTTAGTTTTAATGCTTAACGCTTCGCATTTTGCAGTTTTCTTTGGTTGATTGTTAGTAATAAAATAATTTTAAACCAACAAAATGAGCAGAAAAAATCGATTTTTTCCGTAATTCTTGAGCTGAGAATCTATCTAAGCAAGATCATGTTTTCTTTCTTTTTGCTAAAATTGATACCCTGTAATTTATATAATCTTTATATATTCTTTAGCTAAGGATTTTAATTTTTCTGTAGTTTTTAAGGTACTGATAAAAATAGTTTTGGTTACGGTGGAACAGGCAAAAAAAGTTACAACAGACAGTTTGATAATTATGGTACTTCATTCACATTGGGTGATACAATTGGTTGCATGTTGGATTTGGATAATGGAACAATTGCTTTTTCAAGAAATGGCGAGCATTTAGGAAAGGCTTTCGACATTCCACAAACATTACGGAATACAGCACTTTATCCTGCTGTAGTTTTGAAAGTAAAGATGGAGTTTTTTTACATTTAAGATGCCATATTGCCATAATTATTTTCATAGTGTTCCCAAGGTCATTCAGCGTTTTCTCTGAAGAAAAAAGTATTTTTTATTTTTGGACATTCAAACGTTATCTTCAATTTATTCGTCATATGTACGTTAAAAATTCCAAGGATGCCTTAATCACATGTTCATTATTTAGAACTCACCTTATTCATTTCTGATTTCACGTAATGATTGTTTATCATTTTTTCAGTTTGAAATTGTAAAAGTTTTATACTGCAATTTAAATCATGCTTTTTTATTATAGAATGCCGAAATTCGATTCAATTTTGGTGAAACAGAATTCAAGCATCTTCATAAGGTTTGTGAAGCTGTTATGAATTTTTCAAACAAAAAATTTTAGCAATTTTAAGAAACTGAAAATACAGACCAGTTCGACTGCTTTTGTCATGCTTTGTTATTGTTTTATCAAGTTTTAGAAAATTCAAGATTCCAAGACGCTAATAATATATCAGCTTATCTAATCAGCTGTTATCTCGAATTTCAGGGCTATGTAGCAGTCTGCAAAGCACTACCAGAAAATACTGTCCTTTCACCCAACGGCTCAGGTAACGAATCGAAAAAAACAACAGAACCAAATGCACCAGCTTGTATCATAATTGAACCTACCAAGGAATTGGCAGATCAAACAGATGGTCAGCTCAAAGCCTTCAAAAAGTATCTGAAGGAGCCAACTATCAGGTGATGATTTAAGTGATAGGTTTTTTCCCTCTGCTTAAATGAATTACGAATTCATATTTTAAGCCCCATGTAGAATTGCAACTACTTTTTAGTGTTGGGTCGCGGTAGAATATTCCTGCAAGCTGGTGAAGGTATGCAATCGTGTTAGAACTATGTTAAAGTTAATGTATTGATTTCTAATAGTTAGCAGCTTTAACAAAGGTGATAAATTCATATAATTCTGCTGTAAAAAGAACCTAATTTAGCTTAATTTCCTCTTAAAAATATCACATTAATGAATCATTTATCGACTAACATCGATGATTTCTATTACTCTAATTTTGTATCTTTATATACATCAGGGATGTTACGCTTTTCAGGACTGGACTTGTCATAGGCAGTATCCCAGTAAATGAGCAGTTAGGAATTATCATGTCAGGCATAGACATAATTACATGTACACCGGGAAGACTAGAAGATTTCATCCAAAGTGGCAAAATTTTGTTATCCAATGTTCGGTTCTTCATTCTAGACGAAGCCGTAAGTATCTGTTCTATCACATATTTTGATGCATAAACTGTGATGTGTTTATGAGTGCACCACTTTTCTTATCTCAATTCGATCCCAAAAAACTATCCCCATTTCAAAGAATCTAATGTTGAATGTGCATATTTAAAAGTCAACTGAGCGAGTAAACTTCATTTCAGACTTATTTTCCATTATGTGATATTTACATTGCAAGCTGACTTAGCCTGTCAGGAAACTGCATGTTTAAAAATTCCAACTTCAAAAGTTTTTCGACAGTTTTAAACTTCGTGGTGTGTAGAGTGATTTCAACTTCAAGATATCATTTTTGTGAATTCTTAGCAAAATGAATGGAACTGCAGGATTCATTGGTATCGGCGAAGAATCACTTGCATACCATCGAGCGTATCCATGCAGCTTTACCGAAAATAACGGCTTTAGGAGAACGTTTGCAAATGATTGTTTGTTCCGCGACATTGCATAATTTCGATGTTAAGAAGCTTGCTGTAAGTGTTTCTCTTTGGTTCTACGGATTTTTTCTGTTTTTCGTGAATATCTATCTTTTAGGTAAGTATCAGTTACTTTGCCTATTATAATTATTTCTTGGTATCCGGTGGAGGATTATTTTGGGAATGTTTGTTGCACATGCGTGAGTTGAAAGTTTATCTTTAGTTTTTCGAGAGATGATAGTGATAATTTGAGGAAGAATGAAATACAATGAAATGTACATCGTCCTAGTATGAGCTGACAATGTACTGTGTGTTAACAAATAAATTATGACAAAATGGACTTTACCAGCCTGACAAACTGCCCGGTGATACTTGAATAGTCATACAGAAACAGTGCGAGCCAAAACAACTGGGATTGTAACTTGCCACTAACCTGTGATTAAGACATCAATGTTTGTGACCTAAACAGAAAATGAGAGAGCTTTCCAGGATCGGATGATGCACTTCCCACAGTGGGTGGATCTCAAAGGACAAGATTCTGTACCGGACACCGTCCATCATGTTGTTTGCAAAATTGATGCTAAGACTGATCGTATGTGGATACGTCTGAAACCACAGGAAAGGGTGAAGGTATGTTGTGATAATGTTGGATAATATTGTAGGGACAAATTCGGAGTTATTATGCTTCATTTATCCTCTTTTTCAGACCGATGGTATCCATATTAATGATGAAATTCGTCCTGGAAGTGATTATCCAGAGACTCTCTCGGAAGGCACAAAGATTCTGAAGGGTGAATACGTCTTAAAGGTCTAATTTTATTTCCTTTTTATTCAGCCGCATTTTGCAGTTTCAAGTTTCCAAAGGTATTTTTAATTTCTGTCTATCTTTTGTAGGCCATTCGCCAATGTAATATGGATCAGGGAATCATTTTTTGCCGTACAAAAATTGATTGCGATAATCTAGAGAGGTACCTGAAACATAAAGCACAAGGTTCGCGTCCATAATTATGAAATATTATAGGGATTTGAGTTTTGAGAAGTTTTTCAATCACTGAATTGTTTTTAGGATTGAATTTTATCATGACGCGTCCATCTTTAATCGAGTTCGGACTTCATTTTACGTTTAAATACTGATTTTGTAATAGTATCAGTTTGTTTATTTAGACCTTACGTGTGTTTGCTTGCATGGTGATCGTCGACCGGATGAAAGAACCAGAAATTTGGATGCCTTTAAGGTTAATTAATGATTCAAATACATGTTTTTTCATTAAAACTTCTGCAAAAGAAAATTTCACTCAAAGAGAGATGGACTAGCCAGATAAAAATCCACATATATAATTTTTTTGTATGAATGTTTTTCTTAGTAAAATGAAATTAATTTCAGAAGGGAAAGGCGAAATTCCTTATTTGCACTGATGTCGCTGCACGTGGTATTGACGTGAAGGGTATTCCATTTGGTTTGTTTATTTTGTCTATGTTAAACATAAATGATAAGTGATCATACCAAAAAAATTAATTTCAAAATTAATGTAGCGATTATCGTAAATGTAAGCACAAAATTGAGTGATATAAACTGAAGTTACTAAATGAACTACTTTTATCCTAACTTTTATAGAAAATTCTAGAAATATCTGTTATAAGTTTCCATGCATTTTTTTTACATTACTGTATGGACTATTTTGTAGTGATTAACGTAACATTACCGGATGAAAAAGCGAACTACCTTCATCGAATTGGTCGTGTGGGCCGTGCAGAAAGGTACGTTTTGTATTTTCAACTTCTCTTTACTAGTAATTCCTTACCTATTTTTAATATAGCAAATATTTACTAAGCTAGTATTCTCTCAATTTTTCGTAGTTGCATTTCAAGCAAATAGTTGTTATTTTAATACAAAATAGTTAAAATAAGTCAATGTAAGATTTCTATAAGAAGGACAAAATGAAAGAGAATGAAGATCAATAAGTAGGAGTTTAACTCTCTATCAAAATCTGCAATTTCTTATCTGGGTTTTAAGTGGACTTTTCATGAAATACTCCCACGAGTCGATTCTAAACGTCTCAAGTTTATGTGTTTTGTTCACATTTACCAAGCCATCCTTTTGTCCTTTCATACTCTTTATTGATTTGAGATGAACTAGTTTTTATTCTCAAGTTCATGCGTGTTTTAGGATGGGTTTGGCGATCTCCTTAGTTTCAGTACATCCCGAAAAAGTATGGTATCATAAATGTCCCTCACGTGGTGTTAATTGTTCCAATACTGCTTTAATAACACAGCGTGGTTGTGCAATTTGGTACGACGAACCGAAAGTTCGTTTTCAATCCACTTGGATTTTTTTTTCTTTCATGTTTCTGCGATTCTTGGTACTATTGATACAACGACCATGTCATTTATGATTCATTTATACAAAGTTCTTTTTTGGTTTTCCTAGTAGGTTCTCATAACTAATATTTGTATAAATGCACAAATTTTACATATATGAACTTCAGCTTTTGGAAGATATTGAAGAGCATTTGGGTGTGACAATTCCGCAGATCGATACCGATTTCATCGTGCCAGTTGATGAATTCGATGGTAAAGTTGTTTACGGAGCAAAGCGAACTAATACGGGTGTGCTAATTTTTGTTTCTTCTATTCCTTATTGTTTCGATTTTTGTTAGATTTTGTTCATTTGTGGATTTGCAATCTAATATTTTGCTGACTGCTTAAGTTTTCAGTTGCTTTAAGACATTTCTGATTAGTTATAATTCCATAAGGAAATTCACTTGTTTTTAGGCTCTCTTTATGAAGGACACGCAGTACAACTTTCCGGAGCAGTTGCACAACTTGCTGATTTAGAACGTTCATTACAACTATCGTACTTGAGAATGTTTATTCCTTCTGAAAAGGCCAAATAGAACAGAATTACAGTGATATTGGTTTCCATACGTGTATTTCGCACAGACGGTGTTTCATGTCTAACACTTCGAAATATTTTCTGATAGCTTCGCTATTGTTTTATTTTTTACTATTTCTTAAATAAATATGACCAGATGTCGATCTAAAGTATGAGAACATTATTGATTTCTAAAGTACTTTTATTGGATAATGGAAAAGTTCATATCTTTGACTGGTATTTGAGGACATATTGTTAGAAAATGTTTCATTGCTGACTAAATGTTCAAGTTGGGATTGCATTGTCTCAAAAGTTCATGTTTGTAAAAATATTGCAAAAAAAATTGAACAAGTATCTTATGTGTTGTGATATTTAGAAATATATGAAGTATTTCAGAAGACTATCCACTTTAAAATGAAAAAAATAAAGATCATCATAAAGTTTCTTCAATTCCACTTATTTCTGAAGAAACTTTATGATGATCTATATTCCTCACATATAAATCATCGCAAAGTTTCCTCAGAAATAAGTACAATTATCGAGCAGAGTTTGCGGTCCTTATATTTGAATTCAAGGACTTTGTGAATCTAAGTCAATTAGTTAATTAAATGTGATAAATGAAAAATGAAGAAATTGTCACTCTTCCAAATTTAAAATAATTTCCAGTCATTTAATTTCTAGAGATCGTAAAGTGGGAGAAATTGTTTCAATCATTTCATTAATATATTAAAATAGCTCTTTTTCTTACTGGTTTCTGAATATTTGCATGTCATTTCCGATCTTTTCTGTTTCTTTTCTTTTTATTATTATTAATTTTCCATTGTTTTAATCTTCAAACTTTTCTTTTGAAATGATTGAAATAATTTCTCTCATTTTCAAATGACTAAACTAATTTCCCTTATCAAATTCAAAATTCAAAAGATTGAATCAGAAAACGTTCGATTAACTAAATTTATTTAATATAGCCAAACGAATGATTAAGTGAACAATAATTGATCGAATAAAGAAGTGTATTGATAAGTTTTTAAAACATTTTTTATTGACATATCAAAAACATATTTAAATAAAACAAAATAAATTTCGTGAAGGACTTGAAAGTAGCTATTTTAAATTAATTTCAGCAGCTTATCACTATCTGTAATAAAACCTTTCTGTAGTGAAAATGTAACCTCAACAATTCCCAATGATTGAACTGAAAAAGTCCTAGATGAATCCAGAATTAGTGAAGTGAAAGCAGCGTTGATAATCGGTTATCCTATTAATATCGGAATAGCAGCGGGCGTAAACTTCGATTGATGTGCTGTACGATCTAAACCGATCAGCTCAATTGCACAATCTAACTTCAGCTGATTTTGTATCGGTACAATCAAATCATGATTACGCAGAATGTAATAAATATCAATTTCAAACCACATCTCGAATTTAGGTGTACTTAGAGTTCGTCAAATACAAGCAGCTGATTCAAAACAAAGTTTCTCATCGCGAAATTCTGCTTTAATCCAAATTTCGAAAGCAAATAATGCCTACC